CCCCCCCTACCCCCCCCCGGCCCCCGCTGTAACCGTTACCCTCTCCGTTACTGAAACCATCCAACACACCCCCCAAGGTCGGCGGATTTGGAATCTGTTTACGATCCAATCAACATATAGTTAGCATCAATTCAAATCGAACTGAACTCTGACCGAAATCTGATTCAAACCAATTGGAATTGAAAGCGCGATGAACAACCATTACAGATTCCTTCATAAAACCACTCAAAAGCAATAAACATGTAGGAAATCAAAGAGATCCTAATCCTTGAGGGTCATGCTAAGAAGCTCCCTCTGAGCCACAATTTAGTTTAGTATTGGCCCCTCCGAAAGTTCAGATTTTGGAATTCTTGGGAACCTGTATTTTATATTAGGGGGGTTGGTTGATATTTGGGGGAAGCGATTACGGGCCTCTGCAGCCGCTGTACGGAAAGGTTTACAGCCGAGTGCAGAAACATTGTGGCAGGTGTTCGCCTTGCCGCATTTTCGTGGCCAGCTACGCGCCTGGACCTTGAGCACGAATTCTGAGCTGTTTCTGGGCATGCTGTCGTGAGCAGGGTAGCAAAGGGTAGGCTGGCTGGTTTGCTAGGTACTAGTGGTCCCCTTCATGCTTTTTGCCGTGCTATCCTTGGACAAGACATCAGGGGCCCCTCGCCCAGGCACCTGAGCTTCGCACGCGTGATTACAGGATGCGTAGCATTCAAGGCAGGATGGCCAAGGTTGCATTGATCCTTGCTGCGGTCATCATCGGCTGTGTAGGTCTCAACCTGAGACTTTCATGTTGCGACTGGCGCTGCAGAGCCTGCCAAGAAGCAAAAGGTCCTGCTCTCTTCCTTTGGTCGCAAAGATTCAAGACGGAGATTCAGGCCAGAATGCGAATTACTCTGCACTGCCCCAGTAGTGTGAGCTTGACGATTTTCCATTTTTTGCCAGCTGTGCTAGATTCCTTCATCCACCAGAGTTTGCATGTTGTCTTCATCTCATGACTCATTTGGCTTCCGTGTGGTTCAGGAGCTGCCTCTTCTATTAGGGTTTAGGGTTTCGTTTTGACCTCACCTCACCCCAAATTGGTGGTTTGTGCAGATCATGGGGTTCTGAAATTGCGGTAGCATGGCAAATACAAGGCCTTGTCCATGCCAAAAACCTGACTCAGATAGGTTTCCCCAAGGTGAAATCCTATAGTTCTTGTTCTCGAGAGCATGACATGGTAAATAGGGAACCCAATATAGACCCAAATAGTAGTCGGCACGCTTGACAGAGACTGTGGAGTTATGGTCGCAGGACACCGGTAGCTAAAGCTCAGCGCGAAGAAGCTTTCTCTGGTGGAAAGAAAGAAGCCCAATGGGAATTGGAGCCGCGCATGCATTGAGGAACAACTCGTAAGGTTGCGGAAACCAAAGAATAGGCCCTACCTTGAGAGAAATGGGATGCCCAACAAATGTCACTGACACTATAAGAGCGGAGAACGAGCATTCTCAGGCCTGCGACTGACTCCAGAAAGACTTGGGGAGTCCGGCCTCAAGTACCCAAAGGCTTAAAAAGGAACAGGAGCAACTTGAGGCCCCGGCAGCCCCAAGCGGATTGGCAGAAGCGACGAGCGTCCAGCCAAGGCATACAAGCGTGTTCCAACATAGATATTCCAACAGTCCGTCGAGAACCAACCAACCCATGCTTGGGCGAAGGATGAAGCAAAACAGCGCCGTGCCTGCGACAGGAGCAGATCTTACTTTGGCTCTTTTAGGTTTCGCAGGCTCCTGCATGATGGAAAGACACCTCGGATACCAACATATTCTAGTTGGAACTTTGCTTTTCGCCGAACACATATACAAGCAACGTGGTCCCCGTCGTTTCATGGGCGCAAGCCCTGGCAAATCCAGAGTGAGGCTGCGAGGATTCCCGAAGAGTCCAGCATCAAGAAAGTTTGCATGCACCCTTGGTCTAGCTTGCATGGTTGGTCAGGGACCTTGGGACATTGCCCACATTGTGCCCGAGCAGCCTCAAAGTGCGTCTGGCGCTGAATATGGTGCATGATGTAGTGAATGTTCCATGGCACCGCATATGTGCCTCGGCAGAAAAAGCCTCTTCTGCATGGCAATGTAGCAGGTCTCATTGTAGTAGCGCTGTTGAGGCAGAGCAGCCCTGATCCCAGGGAGCAAGGCCGAACAGCGGCAACCTGCAATCTGTCAAATGACTGCTCTTGCCACGGTTGCACACTGGGCAATCATATGCCTGCCGGAGGAAGCTTGCTGTTGCGCTTACGTCGGATCGGTTCGCAGCTTTAAGTAGTGGTAGGGCGCCTGCTGCTCTGACAAACGCCCGCTTCAGGCGGCACTATGCACTCTAGCTGCGTGGGAACCTTGACAACATACACGACAGGTTTGGCAGCCTAGCCACGCCATGTCCGCGGAGGCCAACATGCCAACTGTTCACTTTGTAAAGTATTTTGATACCGAGCTCTCCAAACCCCAGTCAATCCAAACCCCCTACTCTGAGGCCTCGCAGAAAGCCTCGCCCAAAGCCGATCCAGCTTATCCTCCTATACCTCGGAAAGGTTGTAAGATTCTTTTGGGACCTGGGCTGGCCATACTTTGGACGGCTAGGGGCTGTACGAAAAAGTATGAAAAAGTCGTGCCACGAGGCATGTGACTAAGGGGACAATTTACCCTTGACCCTAAGCTGTGATTTTGAAGTGCATGTTTAATCGTTCGGGACTATTACCTGAAACAAGCCACTACTCGGCGCACTTCCACGTGGCTAACCAGCTGAGACCTCTTTCCAGGCAGAGCGTGAGCTACCAAAGCAGTCACAGGACGGGAAGCAGTGGTGTTGCACACCGTTGTGTTGCAAATCGTTTTCATCTGCCGGTACAGAGTGCCGCTGAGAAAGGAAAGCTGCAGATGCTGCGTCTTGTGTAGGTCTTGTCAAAAAAGATGTGCTTTCGTTAAAGGCAGAATCATAATGGCAAGCGATGTGGCGGTTGCAGGCCTATCCAAACCCCAGAGAAGGACTGGCAGCTGAAAAGCTGGCCATGGAGGCTCAGCAGCTCAGCCATTTACAAGCCATTTACAGCATTGAACTTTTGCCCCACACGTGCTTGTCAGGAGCGACCAGCGCCGGGAATGCACGATCTTCCACTTCGCCAGTACCTGGACACGTGAACCTTGCTTTGCCTGCCTAGAGTATCGAGGGAGGACAAGCCCTCGAGAAAGTTGAACCTAATGAATGCTGCAACGTGTTGCTGCCACTGTTGCGTGGACTCTGGATCTTTCTGTCAGACTTCTGTTGTTACTCATAGTGACACTACAGGTAAGGGAGCAAGATATGATGGCCCTGTGCAGCCACGTGCTGAACTGCAGATGCAGGTACGTAGTGCCCACGCTTCTTCCAGGGATGAATGCGGTGGCCGAGGCTGCTGCCTACACGCAGATCCGTGCAGAATATTTTTTTGGTTGAGTTTTCAGCATATTTGGGCTCTGCTCCTGGTGACAAGAATGGCTATGACAATGGACGGTAAGATGGTGAAAAGGTTTACGATGCTAATATTTCAGAGACTGCATCCATGGGCGGGCATCGCAGGCAATGTGAAGAGAGAGTTGTGGAGTGGTCGCTGGTGCGCCCTGCCCCTGCATGCCCTCATGGAGAAACGAGCCCCCCGTGATGCTGATGATGGGGTTGCTGCAAAACTAAGACAAGAGTCACATGCGCTTTTGAAGCGAATCCCCCTGCTACAGAGGGATTTTTAACAGTTTTTTGGGGGTCCCGAGAACCACCCAAAACAGCATCATGAGTACAGAGGTTTTTGGTAACTAGCCCCGAGGCCCATCCAAGCCGGGCCAGCAAATTTGCAAGGTTTGAGAGGAAGACCTCAAATTGGAGAAACAGAGATGATGCTGGCCCCCTGCGCCAGGGCATTGCCCGATTTACGGGGCTGTGCCCAGGGCCGGGGATTGGTGAGGCAGAATGGGAGTGATGCAAGGCAAGGCATATGTTCCTACAATCAAAGGAGGGTGAAGCAGGGCTAGAGGTGTGCAGAGGATTGCAGAGGAAGGGCATGGAGGCGGAAGGGGAGAGGTGTGCGGGAGGGAAGGGGGCAGGGGCGGGAGGCTGTATATGCAATGGGTCAGATTGGTGGACGTAGGGACGTGGGGGAGGAGGGTGGAGGCGGAAGGCGAACAAAGTGCTTCCCAGACCGTGACCTGCTGGAACAGCAAGGTCGGCGGATATCAGTTGGCAGGAGCGGCCCGAGAATCCAGTTGAATGGCTGGCCTACTATCTGCTCAAGAACAACACAATGGGCCAGCTACTCAGCGGGCTTCCATGAGCGTTCGGCAATCTACGCATCACATCAGTTCCCGGATTTTTTGGTCATGCCCCTCTGCGAACATACCCCACCAATGTCTAGCAAGCTTTTGAGCTGCAGAATCTTTTGATTCGTCCAAAGCGACGAGGCAAAAAGCCGGCGGAAGAGAAGAAGGCTATCTCATTGGGCCTCCGCAGTTTGTGCCAACCTTCAGAGGGGTGTCTCAGCCAGATTGCAGGCAGATGATGCAGCACCAGAGCAATGATAATCGTTTCCACCCATGCATGCGAACTCTGACTTGCCTTTGCAGCCGGACAAAACGGAGAGCTCTCTGAACGGTGCTGCATGCGCGGGCAAGTTATGCTTCTCAAACACTTCGCGCCGCACAGATTCACAGGTTCGGGGTAGATGATCGATAGATACCCAGGCAACTTATGCCTCCTTGCACCGCCTGATGAGGAGGAGGACCTGTCTAACTTGGCTCACACGTCGGAACCCTCACTGCCGATACAGCATGCTCCGAAGTCATCTTCTTCCAAAGGTTTCACAGGGTTTCATGAGCTGCGCCAAGTGGGGAGTGGGTCAAGCTTCATGCCCTGAAGGATGAGCGGAAGAGCACCAAGGCCTTTTAAACTTTGGATGACGCGTGGCTTTAGAGGTCGGTTGTTTCATGCAGGCCGTCTCCAAACTGCTGGACCCAGTAGAGCATTTGGAGCAATGGCGGGTCATTTGCCCCTCAGCTCATGTTCGCCCACACCGCACATGCATGCGCTTGTCTTGCGAGATGAGGTATCGATTTTCATCGATTCCGTGCCAAATGTCCTGACAAATGCAAGGCCAGCAGCCTGTAGGTCCTCTTGGCGTCTCACTTGATCCGGTGGATGGTAGTGAACACCATGAGTAGCTGCCACAAGGAACTTATTCGCCAGGGAATTCCAGAGTTTTTGCGTGGCTCGGTACAGGGTCTCAGCATGTGAATGGGTCAGTTTCCGCTCCAGCATCTGCTGCAAATGCCCGGCAAGTTGATGTTCCAACAAGGTTTGGCAGAAGCTTGCTCTGTCACGAGAGCTTTTGCAAAAGCACCCCAAGGACATTGTTGCACAGCGAAGCTCACATTGACCAGTCATGCAAATGTATTAGAAGGATATCTACGAGCAGATGAGACGAGCTGAAGCAGCCCCATGCGAGGGCGACATTGCCAGTCTCTCATTTCCAAATGCACGATAATGCACGTATCCCCCTTAACAAGTGCTATAATAAGTGCATCAATCAGAACTGATATAATCCACAATATAACCCCTTTAAGGAAAATAATTCACTGGTCGATCGGCGAATATGGATAGCATGAGGAGTGCTCCACCTTGGCCAAAGTCGAGTGGGCGGTCAGCCTCACGTAAAACGGGTGCCACACATCTGCCCCAGTCAACGCCGAGCTGTTCTTTGACCTTTGTAGACACTTTAGACCCCTTAGTAATCCCATGACCCCTAGATAGACCGGGAAGCCCCAAATCTTCGATCCACAGCCCCCTCACAACCCTTACAGCTGGACCTGGTTCCTCCACCGCCAAACACAAACAATGTTTTTTTTTTTGCGTCGGAGCTTTGAGCACGGCGGTCTATAGGTAGAGGTGAGAAAGTGGGGAGAAGGGCGCGTGGAGACTTTGCCACCATTGGCATGCGGCCTCGGCAGAGTGTGCCAGTGGTTGGCTGGTCTGGTAGACAGCATGCGTGAACAATCTAAGGGAAACTGTGGGCTTGCGCCTTGTTTGATGAGCATGACTGCCTACATTTGCCCAGGTCCGGGACATCAACCGCACCTTCCCTAAACATGTGCTCTATCGAGCCTGCTTCCTAGCCAACGTTTGGTGGACAAGACCTTGCGAGCTGCCAAGCTGCAATGCTGTATTGACAATCTTGAGCCCTGGTGTTGCCGAGGATAAGCAAGGTCTAGGTCAGCAGCAGCTATTGAATGTGCTTCGTGCATATTCAGTATTCAATGCAGAAGTTGGATACTGCTGGCTCCTGAGAGGAGGTGTTGTGTAGGGCTGGAGATTTTGCAATTGTAGGGCTTTCTCATACAGGTCAAGGCATGGGGTTCATCTGTGGTGTCTTGCTGATGTATATGGGCGAGGATGACGTCCCTCCGGCATGTCTTGATACACCTGCACTGCAAGCTGAGTCGATCAGCAGAGTCCATGAGGCATTTGTTGCTTTTTGTGGTAGGCTTTTCTAATGCTGATATCGTTGCTCGAGAACTATCGCATGTCCGGGCTGTTCATGCCTGGCACCCTTCTTCTTTTTCTTATTATTCTTATATGGTTTATGTTTGCCCTGCGCACGATCCACTAGGCCGAACCTGCCACTCCTGAACAAGTATTTTTTCCAGCTGCAAAGACTGCTGGAAATGAATCTGCAGGGGACTTGGTCTACATGACTTGCCATTCTAGCCTTGTTCAGCGTGTGCACCCAAGCTTTCCAACCTTTTACTCCCCTCCTCCCGGCCTCACCTGCCGCGATCACTTGCACATGCAGCTGTTGCCGCTGTTCTTGCATGAGGGGGCGGACATGGCGAGCCACACAAAGCCCTAGGCCACACCTCTACGAGCATCTTGCTGAGCAAGGCAGGCGAGATGGATCCGACAGCTATGGGTTTGAAGCGGGGCAAAGATACTAAGATGATGCTACAGGTGTGGAGCCGACCATGTATGCTTCCCAGTGGTTCATGACGGCCAGATCCTTATTCTGTTGCCAGCTTGGCGAGATACAAAGCTTGCACTAGCCAAGGTCTGCATCTACAACTTTCCTTTCTCAACTGTTGTGCGGGTCTGGGACATCTTCCTGGCAGAGGGAGCGGGATGCACGGTCAAACATCTTCAAAGCGTGGACATGCGCCTGCATGCATGCAGTGAGTGAGGTGAAAATCATCTTTCGCATTGCGCTGGCACTGCTGAAGTCCAAGCCCTGCCAGCCTTTCCTTGTTTGGCCGAGCGCTGCTGAACTACTCGCAGGCTGAACCAGGATGCGTTGCTGAACCAATCCTTCGAGCAAATCTTGCAGACTCTGAAGCAGGCACCCTTCACAAGTTGTCCGCTGGGTGATTTGTGTGCTCGTGTCAGCCAATGTGTGATGTCAGGCGCCCAGCGCGGTCGAATCAGAGATGTGCAGCCTGCCTTTGCTGAAAAGCAGCTCAAGAGCGCATGCTCCCAGCTGGGATGCCAGGCTCATCAGAACAGCTCTCAACATCAAGCTCAAGAACAAGACGCTCAAGGATATTGAGTGGCAGCCCCAACCAAACCAAGTGCCGTTCACAATGCAGGCCCCGTTGGAATTCATTTGACGCCTTTTGTCATCATCCGCCGGCTAGGTCAGAGTGGCTCTCGCAAATGACGCCCGGCCTCTGATCAGTCTGTCAGTATGCAAAAGCCGTTACCAGCTGTGCTTTGCGTCTCAAGCGTTAAGCAGTGCTGTCGAGTCCACAGTTGCTTACAACGCGTGAGTCTATTTAGCAGTGCTGGGGTCCAATTGCACAACCCGAGAATGCTGTGAAGATTCTTGGCGAGTGCCTGCCGCATTCTGCCTTGGGATCAAAGCCTGATGGCACCGGCCAGAAGGTACGCTTGAATGTAAACGTAGTTGCCTCGCCATGCTAGCATGGAGGCTTTTGCCCCTTTGGGCACCTCTGCAATGCCTGGCATCATTGCGAGTGGAATCCAGGAAGGATCCAGTAACCAAGGTGGTTAGCTTGCTGGAGGACCAGCCCAGTCAGCCATCATGTGATTCGCCAACTTGGAGCATTAGTTCGTGCAGGCAATAGAGAATCAGGGGTTGAATTTGCTACCCATCCGCGGTTAGGGAAAACCCCTGCAAGGGCAGGATCTTAGCGAAGCATCCTGTGAAGCAAGCGCGATCGAGATGCTGCCGTGAGCAGGACATGGCAAAGCAGTTAGAAGTTGATGCAAAGAAGGACGAAGATGTTTATGACAAAATGGTCTGTGGCTTACACACACACCGCAGCACTGGCATCAGTAAATTGGATATCGTAAGGCTTCATGCTGTGTGTTGCTGGTCTGTGAATCCACAAGAGTTGACGAGGTATGTTGGTGCACGGAGACGCAGAAAGCCAAGCAGAAGGCTATAGATGAAGGTGCAGGTCGTATAGAGTCACTCTCTGCAGAGATCGAGCAGGGCGTAGCGCTGTCTGCACGTCTGCAACCAGAAATAGACAGCCTGAAAAAGGAGGCCGAAAAAAACAAGCAAGCCTTGGAACAAGCTTCTGCCATACGAAAGAAGCAAAGTGGTGAGTTTGAGGCGGAGTCTGGTGACTTGAAGGATTCCATCGCTGCTGTCAAGAAGGCAGTCAGCATCCTGAAAAAGAAAGACTCTGCTGCGACATCGTTTCTGCAAGTAGCCAGCAAGGCATCGCAGGTGAAGTCGGCCTTGCGACAGGTCTTCTCCCGAAGCCACAGGCAAGATTGACGAAATCAAGTGTTTGTCTTGAAGACAAAGAGCCCTGATTAGATGATGTTGGTTCTAAGGGAGCACAAATCATAGCGTGGATGGGCATGGAAAAGCCCACACACTGAGACACGTAGTCCGAAACAAGAGGTTGGAGGGGAGGGCGTGCGGAAGCGTTGGCGAGTTTGAATCCAGTCTAGCTTCAGCCAGACTGAGCGAGCAGCGGCCATGTTGTGGTGAAGCCTAGGCCTAATCCCTCAGAACTCAAGCGTGCAGAAACTCAATGTCTCAAAGTGGGGGTGCATGCCCCGCGCAGGTGGGTTGATCCTGCGCAGCTTGAGCAAGTTGGCCTCCGAGACATGAAAGACACAGACCTTCTCCAGCTTTTCAAGCCAGGTCAAAGTACTGGTGAGATATATGGCATGCTTTCGCAGATGTTGGACACCTTCCAGCAGAATCTCAAGGAAATCTCAGACGAGGAGAAGGACAACAAGGCAGCCTTTGAAAAGCTCCAAGTTGCAAAGTCTGAGGAGATCGAGACCAGCGCTGGCCAGATCAGAGTCAAAGAGAAGGAGAAGGCGACTGCTGATGAGCAGCTCGCACATGATAAGAAGGACAAGGTAGAAGCAGAAAAGGCTTTGAAAGAGGATCAAACTTTTCTGGAGTCGGTCAAAAAGAAGTGTGCCAATAACGATGCAGAGTGGGATGCTAGGCAGAAGGCTCGCAGGGAAGAGGTCAAGGCCATTGGGCAGGCAACACAAGTCCTTACAGATGGCCGGGACAAGCTTGAAAAGAAGGGAGTTAGCTTCCTGCAGCAGCAGCAGCGCGCACACGCAGCTCCTAGCACCCTTTCCCACTTGTTGCGGGCGACGCGCAAGTTCAACGATCCCAAGCTATCTGCGCTGGCCCTCCGGGCCAGGGTGGACAGTCTGGGGGAAGTTTTCAAGGCCATCGATGACATGCTGCTCGGATAGTTTGGCTAGATTTACGCTCTGCAATTGGATGTTCTGTTTTGTGTATGGAGTCCTTTTTTTGCAGCTATTTGGCTTGCAACTGGCTAGGCCAGATTTTTCCTAAATAGCTTGAACGTAAAAGTTTTTGCTTTGTTCGGGCAAAAACAGCGAGGCCAATGAGTCAGACCCCTCTGATTGCCGCTTGCTTGCGTTGTCCGAGGATCTCAGAATTGAAGAAAAAGAAGGGCAGCGAGATGAAAAAAAAGGATTTCTGTAAAGAGCAGCTGGCCGACAACAAGCTTCAGCAAGAAAAGCAGGATCGCAAGAAGGAGGACGTCGGCATTTTGCTGGAGACTCTGGAAGAGAAGATCAAGAAGGTATCTGCGGAGAAGGACGAGGTTGTGTCAGAAATTGACACGCTGAACACAGAGTTGGCCAAGGCGGCCCAAGAGCGAGAGGAGCAGAACAAAGCCTTCCAGTCTGGAGTAAACGACCAACGTGAGACACAAAAGCTCTTGAAGGGTTCCCTCAAAGTGTTGTCCAACTACTACGACAAAGCTTCCCTCTTGGAGCTGGGTGCGTCAGAGGACCTTGCTGCACCCATGTGTGGATTGATTCTTGAGTTTGCACCTGGTTCCTGTCTGAAAGGATCGAAGTCAACAGGTCGACAGCACAACTGGACTAGACGCTCCGGCACCAAAAGGGTTTGACGACTACAAGAAGAATGCTGGATCCAAAGGAGTTATGGCGATGCTAGAACACATCAGCCAGCAGGCTGAGGCTCGCATGCACAAAAACCACAGGACAATAGCTGTTCTTTTAGACGAGGTTGTTGGCACTAGTCACTAGCACCCAAGTGTAGCTGTTCATATGACCGAGCCAGCTATGGAAGGCTGCAGAGAAGCAGGCCGTCAAAGACGAAAACGCAGCGCAAGCCGATTATGAGAAGCTTGCGAAGGATACCACCACCAATGTGGCGTCAAAGACCAAGGAGGTGTTGCTGCCCAAAAGCAGCCTACGCAACGTTCTAAGACTGGGTACCTGCAGCTGCCAAGTAAGGGCTAATCATTATGTGCAAACGGATAGCAATGGCCGTGACGGGTGCTTAGGGCCGAAACTTGTGCAGCAACCATCACCGAAGTACCAGTCTTTCTAGCATTCAATCAGTATACAACTATATACAATACAGGAACGGCGCTTAAGCCACAGAGAGACTTGCCACGTCAATCTCGCGGAAGGCTGGAACTATGAATGTTTTGGTTGGCTTGGGTCGGCATGAGAGACAATGAAGACACCTAAAAACAGAACCAGGATGATGCTCAGCAAGTCTCGCCCTTGCTGTGGCAGCTTCAGGTGGAAAGCAAAAAAGCTGCAATCACGAAAGCTGAGGCGCGGAAAGTAGATTGTTTTTGCCGGAATCCATCATGCCAAGAAGGGTCGTATGCTTATGCATGCTTCTGCTGGGTCACAGGGCGAGCTGGCAGATGCAAAAACAGACCAGACAAACATCGACACTGCCATGAAAGCCCTGGTATCCGCTGCTGGAACGCTACACTCCGATTGCGACTTCCTGCTGAAGAATTTCGAGCTGAGGCAGACATCGTTTGACGATGAAGTTGGAGCTCTAATTGAGGCCAAGGGCTTGATGAAAGGCATTGGCGGACAGCCGGCTGGAGAGTGACAATGAGACTCAGACCACGCAGTTGCGCAGAGATGAAGAGCAAAAAGTGCAGCAGATGGTGCTTCGTCAGATTGCGTTGCTTGGCAACAACTGTTCCTCTAAAGCATGTTGGTCCCAGCTGTGAGTGTGTGTTCTTCTGTTCTGGACCGAAGCACGTAGCAGTCTCTTCAAAAAGCCTTCGCACAGTGTGCGCCTACATGGCGGAAGACAAAAAGGAAAGCAAGGCAGGCTGATGTGAATGTTGTCTGTTGCACCTAGCTCAACAAATCTCCAGGAAGAGAAAGACGACAAGGACGAAAAGAAAGACGAGAAAAAAGACGGCGACAAACCAAAAGATGTCAAGAAGGTCCAAGCACAAAGCTGGCAAAGATGGAATGCAGAACAAAAGCTCCCTTAGCACTGCTCTGCTTCAGGACAGGCGTGATGTAGTGGTCCACCCCATTGTCTTGCTCGGCGTTGTGGACCACTACAACCGAGCCGCTTGTCCGAAATGTCATGCCGTTGAGTTGGATCGCAAAATCGCCCTGAATTGTGCGGCCCGGTGCGAACCTGCCTTGCCAGGTTGCAAAAGGAACTACCAAGCGAGTGGTTGGAACCCTGGTGGGTGAGGCAGCGAGATCCCATTTTGCTTTGACAGTCATGCCTGCTCTCACACGTTAGACACCGTTTCAGGGCTTCATGCTTTGTAGCTCCAAGCTGTGGATGTAGCACCGTCGTTCCACAATGATGACATGTTTGGCGAGCGTTTCTGGGGCGTTTGTGAAGAGCGGACATTGCCGGGTACAGCAGCTTTTGGACCGCGACAGATTCTGAAAGTTTTTACAACAGGCGCCCCGCTTGCCACATGCCAAAGTTGACTCAGTCTATGGCAGCCGATCCATTCAACAGGCTTTTTCTATTACATCTCGCGCATTTTCCATTGTCTCTATCTTTTTGCTCAACACATTTTTCCTTTCTGACCTCTTTCTTTAAAGAAGTGATGACCTGTCTAGACAAAGCGATATAAAGAAGTACATGTTCACAACATCTTCCGTGACTCATGCTTGCCAAAATCTACAGCATGTAACATAATGTTTCTTTGGTGACTTACGGTGTTCACTGATACATCAGTGAAAGCATATCTTGAAACCTTTGACATCGACATATGTATACATTCAGATTGAGGTTGTTATCAGAACTCATGAATATGTACAATCTTGGATTTGTTGGGGCTCTTGCTTAGTTTTGTTCTGTTCTGTAGATCAATATGTGGGCGTAGCTTTTGTTTTGCATACTGCCACATGCGAAAACAATTTTAACAGAATTATTACAACGACATTGTAAGCTGCCAGTCTTGAGTTGCCCTTCTTCCATCTTTTGTGTTTCATCAATGGTCTCAGTGCAAACATACAGTATACATTACTACAGAGGGTATGCAGTTGTAACGACAGATGCTCTGTATTCAGCTTTGCAGAACTTATGGTTGTGTATTTAAACTTAAAGTAAACATGATGTACCGCACCAAATTCCATTATCAACGGCTGAAACGGGACAAAGTGGTGGTGCCAAAGCGGTGCTTCTCTCAGCTTCAACAATGATGCAACTTTGCAGAGTTTTTCAGCTTGTGTGTGTATGGACCGGTTGAAATGTCTCAGACCAGTCTCATCACCAGTCAAAGATTGCATAGACATTACCTAGAGGTAGCTACAAAAAAAGAACAAGCCAAATTTGACACATTCATTACTGGTGAAATGCAACGCAACGCGTCTCACACTTACAGAATAAACTCAACGAGCTCCAGAAGACACATGGTCAAACTAAATTATTAGTGGAGCTGTTTCTCATCATGTTTTATCCCTTCTTTTGTTGATCAACACTGTTCTGCAAAACAGAATAGCTTGTTAAGTTCCTTCCATACGGCGGCCCGTTTTCACAGAGTCGTTTGTAGTGGTCAAAAAGGTACTGGTCTGCACCCACCTGTTTGAACCATTTTCAGACAGTTGCATTTTCTAATTAATTGGAAGTTGGAGCTTGCACGTTTACAGCAGTACACGGAGCAAGCCAGCCATTGCTACAAGAAACTTAAAGCAGCAATAGAAGACAGAAGATGCTTTTGATTCTCTAATGCGTTCTCACATTGGCGACATTCTTCTTGTGAGATTGGAGAAATACATGTTGACAGATTATGAAGGTCTGAGTATTTACATTTACCATGCCTTGTACAGCTTTAGAACGCAATCAAGTATGGACTCCAACAAAACTCACCTATGCATCATTATCTGTAGGGACCTGAGTTTTCAAGAACATTATCTGGGTCATGCTGTAAATGTCCGACATCGGAAGCTAGAACATAAGAATGAGCTGTCAGCAACCTGAGCAAAAGGCGACGAGAATGTTCGATTTAGAAATTCAGACGCAGTGTACACCACGGAGACAGCACGGACAGAATAGAAAAAACAAAGTAAGTATTATTCACAAAGTCGGAGCCGTCAAAGAAAAGTGTTGTGAGGTGATCCAAGCAAGGAGTCTGTAGAGCAAGAGCAGGGGTCAGTATCGGTACGTAGACGAGAACCAGGGCAAGTGTCGTGAATCAAGCAAAGTAGCCAGATGGAGGCATAACTATCGTATGAACAACGAAAAAAATCAAGCAAACTTATGAATGCCGTTGGAGTGAATATGGGGGAATACTCATGAGGGAAAGAAAACTGAGACGTGAAAGCACTAAGCAACATCAGAGTCACATAGAACTGTGGGATGGTTCATATCGGCACTCACTTGAATTCATGAAAAAGTCAAACTGAAACTGCAACAGTTTCACGGCATAAGCCTTCTTTTGCTACTTGAGTTTATCTCCTTCAGTTCTTCTCGGTCCTTCTCACATGCTTTCTGGCAGCAGTCCGTCACGACTTTCCACTTTCACCATGTGGGGATCGTCCAAAAACCAATGTTTAAAAATCTATAAGCACGGG